CACAGCCGTTGCACCAGCAGCACCGCCCGGGCTCACTTCGCCTCCAAGGACCGACGGAGGAGGAAGAGCTTCCAGAGTAACCTGCCAGCTCCAGCTTGCTGCCTTGCTCCAAAAATAAACTGTTCTGAGCCTGACGCGATAGCTTGGCTGCAGGGTGCATTAGTAGCTTTCCCGTGGAGCCCCACAGGTTTGAATTCATCCCCTCACAGAGCAGAGACCAGCCTGGTCACTTCTGGGCTCTCATATCCTGCTGTGACAGCCCTTGTGCTGCTCTGCCTGTGGATCCCTTCATTCCTGCCATGCTGCAGTTGTTCAAACAGCCTCTCCCAGGGAGATCTGAGCTCTCTAAAGGCTCTGCCCTGGCAAATATAAGCTGGTGTGCTAAATTCAGCTGGGAATTGTCTTGGAGGCGAAGGTAGCGTGCGCGTGCTGGAATGCGGTGTTCCCGTTAGCTGTACCTCTGGATAAGATGTGTGGGTTTCTATTCTTAATTTCTAAGGAGTGGCATCCTGCTGTCCCCTGGTGAGCTGGGGGGTGGCCCCTGGGAGCAGTGCTCCTGGGCTTTAAGGATTCACTGTATGTTTTCCTTTCCTTCTTCAGTCTCATCCAGTGGTTTGACACAGCGCCCAGCCGGACTTGCCCGCAGTGCAGAATCCAGGTAATGCCATCACATCTGTACACATCTGTATTGCTGTGGCACAATGCTCTGCTTGGCAGCACTGAGGAGCCATGGTCTGCACCAGTGGTGAGGCCAGGACAAGGTTCATAGAGAGAACTTTCTCTCCCCAAAAATGTCTCCCTAAAGGCCTCAAGGGTGAAACCCCATGAGCCAGCCTTCTGATCAGAAGGAGTGGTCTGAGGATGCCCTGCTGCTGGCCACATTTTAGCTTCTCTAGGAAGGGTCCTTGGGTTTTCATGGCTGAGTATTGGCATAATGGTGGAAAGGGCTGGAAGGGGTTAATCAGGACATCTGACCTGTGTATCTGGAGTACCCTTCTGCTTCCCTTCAGATCAGCATCCCATTTTGCTGGTCTTTATATGGAATGCCTGTTTGGCAGCCCTCAGCCCCTCCTTGAGGAAAGCAAAGGCTGGGGAGGGAAGGAAGGATGTCCTTGCCTTTGGAGATGGGAAGCCAAGGCTTGGGGATCCAGTGGCTTAATTGAGACCTGAATTTCTCTGAAGCTTCTGTCACCGGCCTTGAAGCCCCCAGGAGATGGGGGGCTGCAGGAGAAGTTGCCTCATGCTCAGATGTGGATCTTCAGCCAGCTGCAGCTTGGGCTTGTTCTGTGTTTGTGCCGCTTTCCTCCTTTCAAGGTCTTGGCCTTTGTTCCTTCCCTGACTTGTTGATTCCCTCAGTTCTTCACTGCCTCTTACATCTCTGGGTTACCATGGAGTTATCGCGAAATAACATCTTCTGTAGCAGTAACTATGCAATTAGCTGGTGTCATGACTGTATATAATACTTAAAACACAAAGCTGTAACTGCATGGGGGAGGTGTGGAGAGCTATCAAATTCAATTACAGCACCTTCTGCCTGCAGAAAGCAGCACGTACTTCTGTCTTAGGATCTGGCACCGTGTTAGCTCAGCGTCAGCTGCTTGGGCCTTGGCTGCCAGAGAACAGGCTGCGCTTGGTTCAGAAATGTCTGAGTCTTCCTGGTGCAGCTCAGGAGTTTGGTTGTGGTCATACTCCCAAAACTGAGGGGGAGGTCTGCTGCTGTTCTGAGGATCCAAAGCAAAGCCTTGTAGCTGATGGTGTTGAGCACATGACCTGACTTGTCTTTCACTGCCTTGTCACAACATGGTATCTTCTCCCCCTCCACCTATCTTCCGTATCCGTTGTGTTTCCATAGCTGTGCCCATCACCCTCTTCTGTCTCCTGTGTTTAGGTCAGCAAAAGACACATCATCAGTAAGCTGTTTTTTGATGTTGCCCCAGAGGAGCAGACAGCACCAGATGCAGAGACTTTGCAGGTAATGTAACTGGGTGGTTCATCCATTGTGTGCTGCTCCAGTGTCTAGAAGACTGGCCTGGGCTGCTTGTCCTCTGCCAACTGCTGCTGCTTGTGGTGGTGCTTACTGTGCTGGGCTCGTGTTTCAGACCTGAAGTGTCTCTTGCCTGTCTCTGTTCTGCCTCTGAGCCCTGGCCCAGTCTCAGCTCAGTTGTCAGGAAGTCTCCATGCTGTGGGTTGGAATTCCCCCTGACCAAATCTCCTGTGGTGACTCCTGATCCAGCACCAAATAAATATCCAGGTCCTGCTTCTCACTAAGGTCTCAAAGCCTTTAGGATGAGGCTGCAGAACTTTTCCAAAAGGCAGGAGAATGAAAATCCCACATGCAATGAACTGCTGCAGGTGTCTGTGGCTCAGCTGCATGTGAGCCCTGCTAACCCCTCTGGAAAGGAGGGGCTGTTGGAGGAAGTGCCACCTCCTTCCTTCTCTGCAGGTAGGTTTCTTTGTGTGAGGAAGCAGGGGCAGGGTGGTGATAAAGTTGTGCTTTCCCAAGAGAATTTAGGAGAGGGACTGCCTGAAGGTGCCCCAGCAGTGACGGACAGTGGGGCCCTGGTGGAGGGTCCTGGCTAGAGCTGGGCTGCTGAGTGATGTTCTCCCAGTGCCACCTTTAGGTGTGGACAACTGGGGGTAAGAAGAGAGGACACAGAGGGGCTGTTCCATATTCTTCGTAGCTTAGTGTGGCTGAAACTTGGCTCCTTGTGTCTTGGAGTTATCTGTTCCAAGAAAAGTCATAGGTTGACTTTGGTATAACGGGACGCTTGTACCCTCTTGTGTTTAGGATCAGCATGTGCAGCAATTACCATAATTAGCAGTTGCCATGGCAACACTTTATGTATATCATATGCTTTTAAAATCAAGCCAGCCAGACTCATGCCTGTGGCAGCACCACTCATGAAGGAGCAGAAGGCCAGAGCCTGTGCTGGGGAAGTGAAAAGCCCCCTCTGGGCCCTTGTAGCCACGTGCCCCAGAAGCAGCTCATTGGCTCGGGGCAGATAAACATGCCTTGAGTGCACATCCAGATCTGTGCTCACAAGTGTAAATAGAGGAGTGACTCAGAACTGGGCTGACTGGAGAAAATCACCATAGAAAGGATTTCTGTTCCCTCTCCCCCTTGCCCCAGGAGCCCCAGTGGGTTCCCCCAGCCTTCCCCTCCTTCATCCCCTCATTGTTGAAGAGCTGGTCTCTTGCTTAAGGGCAGGACTGGAGCTACTCTTGCTCAACAAGCTTGATGGTACCTTATCCTGAGGGTTCCTTGTGTGGCTGTCAGAGCAGCATCCAGGCCTGAGCGTGTGGGCACTGAGGGCACTATCTAACAGGAAAATAAAATATTTTCTGTGTAGATTCATGTAGTTCATTTGTGTGGGCATTTGCCACCCTGTGCTCTCATTCAGGTTACTGCTGGGCTCATGCTGGTTTGTCACCAGTTCCATGCTCTATGCTGCCTTTTTTCTGGAGGACATGGAGCACCTTGGGAACATGGGTGACCATTGTGGGTGGGATTTAATGTCCAGCTAGACTGGAGTTTTGTCTGCAATGGGGTACCTGCTTTTGGCCTAGGTGGGAGTTCAGCAAGGAAGGCACATGGTGGACTGTCCTTGGGCTCTTTAGAAGCTGAGAAAAAGATTGGTGACTTCCTGGGCCTGAAGTGATTTCACCTGGAAGGGCCCCACATCCAGGGATTGTTGCCAACTAGTGCCTGTCCCTCCAACAGCCTGGGCACAGAGCAGCACTTGGCTCTGTAATCAACAGGAGCTGTGTCTGTGCAGCCTGCAGATGTCCTGAAATGAGTATTTGGCTTCCTGCCATGAAAAGGTTGGCCTGGAGTGAGGGAGAGTGCTTCAGTGAGAAAGCTGTTTGTTGTCCTGGGGAGACAAGCTTGGGGTACTCTTCTGAGAACGAGTCTTACACTGCCAGTTAAAAGTAGTTGGAATGGCTCCCTCATAATCTGAAACACATTCCTGTTGTTGCAGAATTCTCCAAATTGTCTTTGGTGGTGGTCTTCACTCTTGCTTCTGCTCTGAAATGTATGTGATAAAAGGAGTGCTGAGGCTGTTCTGCTTTCTGCTGAAACATGGGAGGGAACTGGTTCCCTGGAGTAGCTGCAGACCACGGGCTGAATGCTGCAACATGTCTAAACATTTCTGGGTGCCGAGTCTGGGTTTATCTTGCATTGCTCTTAAGAATGGTCCTCAGTGATCAGGGCAGTCTCCATGTTGCTGTTCCCAAAACAGGAAAAGTGAGTTTTGGGAGTAACACCGTGGTAAAGCTGTCTGGAACCTGACATTTCCAGTCACTTGTGATCTGAAGAGCTAAGAGCCTGTCATCCAAAGGAGACTAGGAACCTTCAGCTCATTCAGCTTGGCAGAAAGGAGTCAGGAGGAGGAGGATTCGTGCCTGTAAACCTGCTGGGGGGGGATAGAAACCTGGGAGGAGAGCTGTCTGTGTGCGGTCAGGATAAACTTGGGAAAATGTGGTCCTGTAACTCAGGCTGGCAGTGAGAGGAGAGCTTCTGTCAGAGGAGTGAAAACTGGGAGCAGCCTTCAGGTGCAGTGGTGGAGGATGGGGGATTTCAGATTAAGTTGATGAATGAGGTAATGTTACATAGCTGCCTGCAGTAGCCTGGGATTTCTTTGCTATCATGCTAATTAGCACATCTTGTGAGCTCACTAATCGTTCCTAATAGGACTCTGAGGAAGCTACTTCAGGATAGTTCCTGCAGCAGAGTTAATACCATGTCAGCCCTCCAGCTGTTGTCCCCTTGGGGGCAAATCCAAGTCAACTCTAGGCTTTGCACTTAGTCCCCTCTGCTCACTAGGCTTTACATTCCACCTTCTCTTTCCTGTCTTTATTGTCACCATCAGAGTTTTGCTCTGGTCCCCTCAGATCAATGGTCACTGGTTCTGCTATTCTCAGCTCAGATTTGCATGTAGCATTCTGGGTTGCACAGATTTGTGTGCTTTGCCTCAGCGTTGTTGGCATTTTACTGTGGTTTTATTCCACTGCAGTTCCTGCCTGACTTGTTCTGTGCTCTCTGCAGTTCTCTAACACAGCTTTTGAAGTCATCTCCTGTCGACTCTCTCCTGTATATATTTTGTGCATCAATTTTAAAAAAATGTGTATTATATATAGATAGCTTCTCTGTGTAACCTCTCTACATTTCCTTTGGCTATTTGCCAGTGCTCATAAGGCAGATCACTTTGTTATCTAGAATTTAAACCACAGGCATTTGCTTCCTCTTGCTGATCCTTAGTGAAGGCATTACAGACACTTGATCTCCCCCAAACCCTTGTGGCACCCAGGAGTCGCTGCACGACCTCACTTTGGTGTAGATTGGTTGGTCTGTGATCTGTTTATGGCCATTTGACTGAGCTGTTAGTTCATATCAGCATCCTGATCTGCAGTGACCTCAGTGTCCATCAGAATGCTGGCTGGTGCATTTTGATTATGTGCTTGGTTACCTTTTCAGATGCTTGGATATATCCTACTGTTTCCCACCTGCAACTGATTAAAGTTGACTTCAGTTCAAAGCAACTCTCAATCCAGTTAGTCTGGCAACATCTCTGCCTTATTGCCTTGTTTAGGTAAAACCTTATAAAAATTGTTCCAGTCTGATTTCCTGTGTTTCCTTGAGAGCTTTCCAAAATTATTCGGCTAAAACAAGATGACTGACAGTGTGAGAAACACAAGGTTGACAAGGCTAAGGCAAAACTGGGATCTTCTTTTCTCCCCCTGAAGCATGCCAGTTGGAGGTGCTGTTTGCATTCCCCATGATGTAGTTGCTGAGAACTTGGTGCTTGCTGCTCTCGTGTTCCATCCTTAGCACCTGGTCTGTGCAAATGTCCTGCTTAGACACCTCTTGGATCTTTTTAAGATCTGGTGAAAGCTTCTCTGCAGGGCATTTCCTAATGGGGTTTTCTATGTTGTGTTTCAGAATGAACTGGACGAGGTGAAGGCTCAGCTCTCCATGAAAGGTGAGTTCCAGCTACCTGCAGGGGATCAGCAGCCTGGGCTGTGTCTGTGCTGGGTGCTTTGTCCAGGCCTGAGGAACCCCTGTGCAGAGCCCAGCCTGTTCTGAGGCCAGAGTGCAGCCTGCAAACTCTGTTGCTGGAGCAGCTTCTTTAGAGCTTTTTCCAAAGCAAGCTACCTAAAGCTGTACAAGGCTTGTGTGACAGAGCCAGAGTCCACAGCCTTGCCCAGCTTTGCTGTAAAAGGGGAGCTCTCTGCAAATCTAGAGACATACATGCAGGTTTTTGCCTCTCTTGCTAATCACAAGCTACAAAAGTGCAGCACAGCTATATCTGCTTTCAGCCAGCCTGCTCCAAAGCTCTTGGTTTGCTCACTGAGAAACTCACAGCTGTATGTGACGAGGGCTTGTTCCTTCTAAGAGATGAGGGGGGTAAAAGTGGTGCCCAAGCAGCAGTGGGAAGGCTCTGGGTTTGTTTGGCTGTTGCAGTGTCACGTGTGTCGTGCGAAGAGCAGACGGAGTTCAGCGTGTGAGTTCCCATCCTTCCCATCTTTAATTTTAGAGGATGTTTGAGGGAGGCAGGAAAAGCAAAAGCCTTGGAGACTTGTCGATGGGTTTTAAGCATCATCTGTAGGCAGCCTGTCATCAGAACATGAGTCATGAGCAGTGCAAGGAAAATGTCAGTCTGAGTGACAGAAATCCAAAGACACACTAGCAGAAGTGGAGGGGGGGAATCTTTAAAGAATGCTGGGGGCTCACCCACGCCCCGGGAGCCGTCTTTCCTGCCTGCACGAGACAGGCATGAATAGCCAGGAGACTGAGGATTTGGTCCTTAGCCTGAGAGCAGAACTGGATGGTCTGCATGTCTCTATTCTGAGGCCTGTTCTCTTGCCAGCTCGGTTGAGTTTAGTGAGTTGGTAGAGAGCCAGATCTGCTGAGGAAGGTGGCTGGGATTCTTGCTAGGATGTTATCCAAGAAAAACTGCTCCAAGGCCTGCTCATCTTCTCAGCTTCTGGTGAGTAGAGGTTGGATTTGACATTCCCTGTCCCGTTCTCTGTTCGTACTGGAAATGAGAAGCTCCTTCCCACCTCCTGCCTCCTTTGCTGTGGGCACTCTGCTCTCTGGTGGTTCTTGTGTATAAATTCTTTATGTAAAGATGTGCTCTGTGCTGCATGCTGTAGAGGAGCTGTGTAATTGTCAGTCTTTGCTCAGCTTGCAGATGGCTCTAGAGGTGCAGAGCTCAGAGCAGACCCAGCAGGCTCTGTGGGAGGTGCTCTGAATGAGTTGAAAACTCATTCCTGCAGCATGGGGAGGTTTGACTCCTGCCATCTGCTTCTGGGCGACTGGGAGCGGAGGAGGGGGAAGCCCTAACTCTTTTGGTGGATGTGGAGTCCCTGCAAATGCAGAGGAGCATCTCTAGGCTGTGCTGCCTCTGGCAAGGATGGGTTATTCAGATCAATGGAGCAAAAATGCTTTACTTGGAAAGAAATTTGTTTCTTTAGCCACTTGTGTGCTTCTGCTGGAATATGTTGTTCTTTTCTTCCCCAGTTCCACATGGCTCTTTTACTGTCTGATCGAGCAGTGAAGCTGCACTGCAGGTCATGCTTCCATGGGACATGGTGGCACAATGTGAATCTGCATTGTTTGGATAGAGAAACAGCTGTTTGGAAAGGCACTGACTGGCTGTCCTCTGTCATCAGGCTGGAGCCATGGAAATCTTTAGCAAAGACAGAAGATGCTGAGTTGAAGAGTTTACCCTGCTTTTCAGTAGGATTAGATGGAAAGGTTGCTGCTTTCCCTCATTGCCCAACTGCCTCAAGCTTTCCCGTGATGCTGGCTGTTCCCTGCTTACAGATGTCAGCTCCTGATGGTGTTTGTTGCTTTGTGAGCTGTTCCTCCCTTGTCTCAACAAAACACATTGAAATCCAGTGTTGTTTTCCACCACCTTCTCTGGTGGTCATGAGGCACGTGCTTTGTTCCTGGGTTGCCTGAGTGGGGAAGAACAGTTTTTGTGACTTGCAAAAAGGGGCTGCTCTGGGGAATCCACTCAAGCTGTCGTGTGTCCTGCAAAGGCCTAGTGTCCAGCAGAGCTCTGCTTCCCTGCCTCTTGCCTTTTTCTGTTGGTGCTGTGGCAAAGGTAGGTTCCGCAGTGTGGTGACAGAGAAGCATGGTGGATCACTGCACACAGCTGCCCCACAGCCCCCAGGGGGCTTCCCCACGTGTAAGGCTCCATCAGGAAGAGGATGAGCTGGGGGCCCTGCTCTCCAGTGCTGGGACAGCTTGATGTCACTCAAGAACAGTTTTCCTTGTGCAATCCTGGCTGTGAGAACATGCAAGAGTTAAGATGCAGCAGCTTAGTGGTAGCTGGGCTGGCACTGGGAAGCTATTAAAGGGAACTTGTTATCTTTAGTAAAGAAAATCTTGAAGCCTGCTGGCACTGGGAGAAGCAATTGCTCAGCACAGACCCTGGTGCAGACAGCACTTAGGGAAATGAGTGGCCAACTCTGAGCAGCCTGGAGCCTGAGACTGCACGTGGCGTCTGTCTGTTGTGCTCCTGCTGCTGTGGGGCAGCTGCAGTCTGGGTGAGCAGGCCATGACCTTTCTCTTTTTTCTCTCCAGAGAAAGAAAAGCGGGAATGCCAGGCCATTGTGGATGGGCTGAGGGACACTCTGGATGTGCGCAATGCCACAATAGAGTCGCTTCAGAAGGTGCTGGGAGAGACAGAGATGCTGTGCTCCTCTCTCAAGGTACCTTTCCTGTCCCCAAGAGGACTTCAGCACTAACCATTGTGCAGTCGGGGTTAGTTTTGTTGAAGATGTCTGCAGACCCTACTCATGATGTGATTGTGTTGGTTGGATTTTGGGTCTAGTGCCTGGACACTCCTGTCTCCTTAGTCTCTGGATGACAGCTGGGCAGTGCAGCTGAGTTTCCACAGTGGGTTTGTTCAAACAAAGCCAGGGCTGGAGGTCCCTAGTGCACTCCACCCGGGGGTGAGTCAAGAGGCATCAAAGCCAGACTGGAGGCTCATGTACAGGTGGCTTTGCATTCAGAACAGAGGTGGCCAGTGTGGGGGAGAGATGCCAGCCCAGCCTGGGGGACACTGGCTGAGCCTTGCTAAGGAGGTGGCAGTGCTGATGGTAAAGGCAGCAGTGTGAACAGAGGGAGGGAACTGGCCCCAGTGTCCATTGCTTGAGACACTGGCTCCCTGCAGACGAATGTTCTTCTGAAATGGGTTTAGGCCAGGTGGGATTCAAGGAAAATTAGTTTCTTAATTTCACTAGAGGAGAAATCAAACTGAAATATATGGAGGAGGAATTCCAAGCTTCAGTTGAGTGGGATTTGATCCAGCTAACTCTCCTGTCTCCATTTGGTTGCCAGGGCTTTCCTTAGGTTAGTAATGTGAAGTCCAGGAATCAACTATTCCTGTTGTGTTTCTGTGTGCTGTGACTCAGTGTGTAGTCATGTACTGTGCGTAAACAGCAAGTGGAAGAGAGTAAGAGCAGGAGCTGCTTTGTTGGGATGACTTGTAGTGAGCAGAATGACTTTGCCTTGGTGCTGGGCTGGGCAGTGTCTGCTGTGTGATGATGACGTGTCTGTCACCAGAAGATGGGGCTTGGACAGCCGGGGTTGGTAGCTGTAGGCTGAAAGGCTGGGTAGGGGTCACTTGCACTTTCCAAGATCTCTGCTCTTTGGAGTGCAGATATGACACAATATCCTAAACTGCATCATGTTCCTGGAGCTGCAAGGCGAAGTAGCCCAGGGAGAGCTTGTAGATGGGTTGCGGGGTTGTCTTGCTGTATGTCACCTGCAGCTGGGCTCTTCCTCAGAGGAAAGTCTGGGAAGCCTGCTTGACACTAGCAGTGTGGTGCTATCACAGGGCAGAGGGAATTAATGCCAAACAGGCCTTGCTGTGAGCCAGCACTACTGATTTTGTCTCCTATGGAATTATATCCAATTTGTTTGGGTGTGAAGGCAGCCTGGGCCTGTACCATGCCAGAGATTCTCCTGGGATCCCAGCTGTAGCAGTGGCAGGACACTTCGGATGCTCCCGACTCCTGCAGAAACAATTACAGCAGCGGAAGCCGGTGCTTGCTGCTCAACTCAATGCCTCTGTGCTTGGCTTTCCTGCCTGGCACCTCAGGAGGAGGCTCTGTTGTTCTCTTGCCTTTTGCAAAACCCTCTGTATATGTTTAAGTCCTTCTAATGAAAACTGGGCAGGGCAGAAGGATTAGGGACCTGGAGATATCTTTTCTGTGGTGTTCAGGGCTTCCCAGTTGAATGCCAAGCTCTGTCTTATACTGCATCATTAAAGATTAAAGCACTGAACTTCTGCAGTGAAAATACAGGCTTAACCAGCAGTGACGCAGGTCAAGCCCACAGGCTGTGAACCCCTCCTGTCTTCTGCTAGCAGCTAGTTGCTGCCGAAACCTTGTTTTTGCTGTCCTTCCAGCCTGTCTGAGGCTGGGGAGTCTGCTCTAACCTGGCACAAAACACTGCTTTGGGGATCTGAAGTGAAGGGAGCTCAGGTCAGGAAGAGTCAAAGATGGGCTTTGCTTAAGCCAGAGCAACACATGAGCCTGCAGTGCTGACCCTCTGCAGAGTCACAGTGGTTTCACAGCCATTTGTTTTTTTTCTGTGGCAGGAAGCAGATAAAATCCTTAAACTTCTGCGTGGCAGGGAGCTTTCCAGGAGGAGGGTCTTTGGCCAGGCCTCTCCTGGCGTCAGCAGTGTGCTGAAATCAGGCCCAGAACCTTTTGAAGCTGCTGTGCAAGGTCCCCAGGCACACACGAGCCCAGACAACACAGCCACATCCAAACGGTGCTAATTCAAGGCAGCTTTCCCCTGTTCTCTGCCAGACTGCAGAGCTGCGCGTTTTCAGCTCGGCTGAGGTTCTCGGTTGCTGCTGCCTCTGCTGGAGAGCCTGGGGAGGTGATGGCTGTGATCGGCTTCAGCTTCTCCAGGCAGGTGAGAGAAGTGCCCAGTGGGTGCCTGGTTTGGCTGATATCTTTTTTTTTCATTCCTGAGTGTGTTTGAAGCAGCTGATGGTAAGGAGAGCTGGGAGGCTTAAGCAAAGGTATCAGCTGTGCACAGAGGAGAAATCAATAGCCAGGTTTGCTTGCCATGGGCTCCCTTGCTTTTGAAAAACTAATAGTGGTTCTGGACAGGGTACTGCACAACCCTATGAGCAGAAATGGAAGCTGAGACTGTTTCTGCACCAGACTCATCTTGTGATGAGCACAGAGACTCTGCTGCACTCACCAGGAGCTGAGCGAGAGGTGCAGCGGGAGGGAGCCGAGCTCTCCCTAATCCTGGGCTGCTGAGGTGCTGATGGCATTAAGAGCCAGTGTACCCTCCCAGCTGCCTGCAGTGCGCATAAGCCAGGATATTTCTCTTAACAATCCCTGGAGCCTTCCTAACGGTCTGTGTGCACTTGCTTCTCTGCAGAAGCAGATGAAATTCCTGGAGCAGCAGCAGGAGGATAACAGGAGTTCAAAGGAGGAAGCCCGTCGTCTGCGGAACAAGCTGAAAACCATGGAGCGGTGAGATTCTGGGCCTTGCAGGCTGGGCTGTGTGCCTCCCCCTTCTCAGAGAGGGAGGAAGGGGTCCAACTGTGCTGCTGCAACATCCACCTCCACACACGGGGTTGTCTTATCCTGTAAGTTTGGAAACTGCAGCATGAGCACCTTGCCTGTCCATGTGCTTGTCCCTGCTGTGTCTCTAGGCAGTTGCTCTTTAGACAGCAGCACGACATGGTACTTTGTGCGCCCTGGCCTCATCTCTAGTGCTTCAAGTTGTGGCTACATGCCATTCCTGCCATCAGGGGACACCGAGGGAGAATCCCAGCCCAAGAACACTCGGCCACAGGGCTATGTGGCCCAAGAGCTGGGCCATCAGCCCTGTGTGCAGTATGTGTGTACAACTGCCCCTTCTCTAGTCTGTCCACTTGGTGCTACTCATCCCTAGCAAAAAGCCCTGCTTGTGGTGGGGCAGTTGTCTCTCTTCCCCTGTGACACCCAGAGTGTATGCAGCAGGAGCTGAGCCTGCATCAGCTCTCTGGGAGGGATCAGGGCTCCAGTCTGTTTCCCAGCTCTGCTTGTGACTCATGAGCTCAGGATACTTTTTCTTTTTTTTGTGCAGGATTGAGCTGTTGCTTCAGAGCCAGCGCCCCGAAGTGGAGGAGATGATCAGAGAGATGGGAGTTGGGCAGGCAGCAGTAGAACAGCTTGCCATCTACTGTGTCTCCCTGAAAAAGTAGGTGCTGCAGGCCTGGCACGGCCAGCTCGTGCTGTCCTGGGTGTGCCCGGGGGAACCCTCTGAGTCCCAGCATGCACGCAGGCTCTGGGGCTCTCACTGCTTGTTTGGGCCTCCAGTGGGTTTTGACTGACAGATCCTGGGGACCTAGATTGGAGCCTGTCACACTGAACTGTTCCTGTTGTCACTGTAGTAACATGTGTGTCACCATGGGAACGGGCTCCAGAGTTGTCAGTGCACCTATGAGGAGATGACGATTATTCCCTCCATGCTCCTCTCATGCCTAGGGGGGAATGAGTGGATGAGGGGTTGCAGGTTGTACCCTCTGCTCCCTCTGTGCAGCTGTGGCCTTGGGCACTCTCTGGCAAGGCAAATCCTCACTGCTGCCCTCCCCTACCTGGACATCCATCTGGTCCTGCTGGGCAAAACCAGGGCTTCTTTGGGGCCCTTCTGATGGCAGCTGAATAATTGCAGCTTTGATACAGAGCTGTAATGAGGCAAGTGTCCCTGTGGTGTAATTGGGAATGAATGTGCACAGCCAATAGTCTGAAGTCTCTGAAAAGTCATTTAAAGCAAAGTCCTCTATTTGCTGCCAGCATGTAGGCTGCTCTGTTGTCTGTCTGTCTTTTCCCCTGGCTGTGTCTGGATCTGGTTTCTCTTTTGCTGGTGAAATCTGTTCAGGTCCTGTTCTCAGGCATGGGATCCCATGCAGGTTTTTTCTCCCCTGTGGTGCAGTGGTATGTTTGACATGCTGTTTGGTCAGTGTTGATACATTCAGCTCTGTTCCCTAAGGGGTTTTGTGTCTCCTGTTTTTTGGTTTGTTTTTTTTTCTGGTGGTTCTGCAGTTGCAGAGCTTCAAATTAAGCATCTTTGCTCGTCTCTGAGAAGTTCTAGCTTATTCCTCTCACAAACAGCATGACTCTTCTGGTCTCTATGCAGGGAATATGAAAACTTGAAGGAGGCTCGGAAGATCTCTAGTGAGATGACAGAGAAGCTGAAGAAGGAGCTGTTTTTGGTCAATAACAAGGTAAAGGAAGGATGAGAGTGGGCAGGGTGACATGCGGTCTGTAGATCCCTGTCAATAACTGTGGCCCCCTCCCACACTGAGCACTATGTGAGTAGATTGGGTGGTGTGGCAGTGTCAGGATGGGATTTCTGGGTCAGGGTGTGATGCTGTGGTGAGTGAGCAGCTCTGGGGCTGTTTTCAGGAGTGCAGTCTCTGGGGACACTGGTGGGGCAACACGTACAGAGCCAGCTGCAGTTGGGCAGCAGCCTGGACTAGAAGGCAGTAACACACAGGGACTTTACTGCTTTCACTGGGCTCTGGAAGTAGAACTGCCTTCATCCTGCCACGTGGTCAAGTGTGAGCTGGCTCTGCCACCAGCCTCTTGCTGATGCGGAATCGGGCCCCTGGGAAAGGTGGAAAGGGTTTTGGAGCCAACACCAGTTGAGCAGGGCTTAGCCCTGGCTTGGCACAACCACAGTCACACCCAGCCTATCCTTTCATCTGACTGAACTGGGCCAGGACTCCTGTGTGTTGCTGGGCCCAGGCAGGAGAAGTCTCCAAGCTGTGGTGAGGATGTGCAGGTGGCTCTGGTGCAGAGCCTGCAGCTGCTGATACACCTCTGCTGCTGTGCTTCTCCTCCAGCCCTTGCTAGGCTTTGTTGGCTTGGGTTAGGAACTGCTTTCTATTGGTTCTGGAAGCAAGTCCTTGTGAAAGTGTGTGCACAAATGTTTCCTGGGACATGCCTGTCCAAGCTCACATTCTGGGAGACTGTGGGTGGGTTTGGCCTAGCCATAGCTTTTGTGGTCCCCTCCAATGGAGAACGAGATTCTCAGATCCCTGAGATGCTCCCCAAGGAAGGTAACCCCCTCCATGAGGTGCTGCTGCAGGAATGGAGCTGCTTCTGGCTGAGTTCATGCCAAGCTGCAGTCACCAGCTTGGGTCAGGAGGATGCGAGTCAGTGCACGGGGCTGATGGGGAGCTGACTGTACCGTCACTCTGTGGGCTGGTCCAGGCCCCTGGAACCACAGAAGTCTCTGATGTGGTACCAGGCCATGCTTCCCTGTTGAATCAGGCTTGTCCCTGTCCCAGTGCTGCTGATGCACAACTATCACCCAGTCTGTGGTTCATAATTCCTGGGATTTGGTTCATCTGAAGTTCCACAGGAATTCAGAATGCAACCACCAAGTGTTACAGAAAGGAGAAGCTGTCACCACCAGGCATAAATGCTCGGGAAGGGCTTTAGAAAGGTTTCTGCTGGGCAAGCAGCCCTGGAGATCCCTCTGCAGGCAGCTTAAGGAACTGAGCAGGCAATGCATCGGAGCATTCAGCTGTTCGGATACAGGAGAGGTTGGCGAGAAGCTGCCTTGGGGAAACCAAGCTCTGAAACGGGGGAAAGCAGCGGGTGTCACAGAATGTGCCTCTCCTGGGGGACCTGCAGCCTCCCCTGCTAACTGGTGCTCTGCTGTTTGGGGGGCTTTATTCTGCAGCTGCAGAAAACAGTTTCAGAGTTGGAGAAGACAAAGGAGGAATTAAAAAGCACCCAGAAGGATCTGAAGAATGCGGACAAGGAGATCTTGGTGAGAATTACCTTTCCTCAGTCTGCAGTAACTGGCAGCTGGCCACGGCCTGCAGCTGCAAAGCCAGGAGTTATGCTGGCTTTTGCTCAGTGACTAGATTACCCAGCCCACCTTACTTCTTTTGTCTGCCCCACGTCTGAGCTTCACCTTTATGGAAAAGAGGCAGAGTATCTGATACTCAATCTTTCCTTATTTCACTGTCTACTCTCCCTCCAGAGTTTGAAGAAGAAGATAGACATCCTGCAGGATACTCTGAAAGTCCCATCTGTAACCAGAGAGACACTCAGTCGACTAGTCTTAGAAAGGTGAGTGAAGTGCACCCTCAGATACAGGCCAAGAACAGAGATGGTGAGTCCAAAGAAAGAGCTGACAGTTGAACTAGCTGGGGAAGCAGGAATTTGCTGGCCTGGCAGGCATTGCAGTAGCATGGTCATCTTGCTCCTTGTATCCCATTTTCTGTTCTGGTTGTTTTTTGTTGTTTGTTTTTTTTCTTTTCTTGTTGCTGACAAGATGGTGTTTGGTTTACCTGGAAAAAGTGTGTTTTGCAGGGTTAGTGTCAGGATGGGACAGAAGAGCAGACTGGGTTTTGACAAACGCTTTGTCACTATGTCCTGCCAGGGCAATATCCCTAAAGCTGCTCTTCTGGTTACCTCATAGTTGGCCTTCCAGTGAGCATGGCCTGGTGCATAGGGACCAGAGATCTTAGCCAGGCAGAGGAACCTAGCCTAAAAATGGCTTCTTTTACATTTTTATCAAGGCATTTTGTTTGAGGAGCTTGGGCTGCTACCCCAGTACAGCAAACTGGGTTGTGCATATGGAGCAGCAGCATGCCAGTATCTCATTTGAGCCCTGAGTGCTGCTCTTGTAGCATGGACCACTTGAGAGCCAACAATAGCTCAGGATGTTGACTTTGGGATTGTCCTTTCTGTGACTTGAAAGCAGAAGGGGGCTCTGATCCTGATTTCACTGCTGCCCTTCAGCTCAATAGCTGGCACACAGCTCTGTCTTGCTCTCCGATGATGGGTGGCAGGGGGTGGCCTCCTGGTGGCTGACACTGTGCATGGCCTTGCAGCCCTGCTCCCGTGGACCTGCAGCACCCGAAGCTGCACTGCCCGGCCGACAGTGATGAGATCAATCTAGATGCCACGTTTGATGTGGACACCCCTGAGCATCCACCCTGCAGATCTCTCCTCAGCCCTGCAAAAAGGCGGAAGCTGGAAAAAAAGCCGTGAGTTTTCCCTCCTGTTTCTGCTTCTGAAGGAGATGAAAGTTTTGCTTCTTTGGAAGTTGCTGTGTGAGATCAGATGGCTCTACAGCTGCCTGATGTTATGCTGCAAGTTTCATCATCATCTGCTTGGCCTTGTCTGTCCTTGCCAGCTTCACTTGAACAATAAATCTCTGCTGATTTGCTCCTTGGGCTTCTTACAGGCCTCCTGTGGTAAATCTGGCGAAGAAAGTTCTGAAGGAAGCAGTGGAGGTAAAAGGACTAATCTTGAGTTTTTACACCATCTCTTTGATTCTGCTGTTAATGAGCTTGGGATAAAGGACCCATTTTCTCCATGTAGGAGATGCTGTGACCATAGACCAGCCCATCTGTAGTACCACACAGTACATGCTTCAAAGTGTTTTGCTTCACAGTCTCCTAGAAACACTGTATTGTTGCCTCAGGCCTCCTGGAATTGGGCAGGAGAGGGAGGGTGGGGACACACGTGCTTTTTGCTGATTATCCTGTGTCACATGTGCTTGGCAAACATGCTGTGGGGCTGACCATAAGGGCTGTGGGGTCAGTGAAAAGAGGCTGTTCTCCCAGCCTTGCTGGGTGCAATGTCTTGCCTTCCAGGAGCTGCTCCACAGGAGCTCCAGTGGGAGGTTTGAAGCTGCTCTTCTTTGGCCTGACACGTGGTATAGCAGTAGCTACTACCCTAAATATCTGTGTTATTAGTGCTCTCTGCATGTGGACTAAATTCAGCAGATCATGCTGGTTAAAGGGCTTTTCTTGTTATTTTGTGGGACAGAACTGGGCAGATGATCTGGAGGATGATGCTCTCAAAGGACTCTTGCCAGCTTTCATCAGGAACTCTGTTCTCTCCAAGAAGCCATCTTCGGGTAGCTTGCTGGGTCCCCACAAAAACATGGGCACTGTAAGTAGGACTGTTCAGCTGGTGAGCCTGTTGAGGGCTGGCACTGCACACCTCTGTCCTGAAGTGACCCTGCAGGAGGAAGGGAATCAGGCTTTCACCTTGCCACATACAGTGTGTGGAACATAAATCTTGGAGCGTGACCTGGCTACTTCCCAATTCTGCAGAGCTCTAGGGATGGCAGATGCTCATTCCCTTCCCGGCATTAGATTAAATGGCCCTTCATGTCCCATTCCTCCACCTCCTTGGAGCTTTGGGTGTTTTCCTCATACTCCTCAGACCCAAGGGTATTAGTAAAGTTTGGGTATCTTGGGCACATTCTGAAACAAGCCAAGCCTTCCAAGCAGCAGGATTTTGTCACTGGAACTGTCTTTTTCCAAAGGTGAGGGATGAACACAAGTGCTGTCTCCAGGTTCTTGTGACCCCTCCCTAGTACTGTGGCCTGCAAGGGTTCCCCTTCCCCATTACCCACACGAGGAGAGGTCACCAAGGCTCTGCTGCTGCTCCAGGCTTATTTCTTTCTCTCTCCTAGGTGAGGATGGGCTACAATGGCTTGGGAGGTAGAACAAAGTTCATACAGCCTGTATCCTTTCCTGCAGCTCATGTGGCAGCAGTGATGCTGTGGGGACCTCATCTTTGTTCCTTCTCTTCAGTCTCAGTCATCGTGGTGAGTCCTGTCCCCCAGCCAGCCAGAGGCTGGGATCCTCAATGAACCATCAGGCTTTTCTCTCTGTCTAACTCTGAGTAAGTCTGAGCTCAGCAAAGGTATCAAGGACCTGAACTTGCCAAGAGCATTATCAGGCTCATCCAGAGCAGTGATATCAACTAGAAATCACAATTTTCAGGGGCTGCCTGTGCCCTGAGCAGCACCAGAGTGCAGCCTCCTCCTGGATGTGTGCCCACCAGCCTGTGCAGCCAAAGCCTTTGTCATGACCTTGGAGTGCTGCTTCTCTGGCCTTGCTGGTGGGGTGGAGGAACCCAAAGGCAGGGAGATGCTTGAGCAAGTCTCTGGGGCCAGCTGTGCCCAGGCTGCCAGCCTGATGTGGGCATGGCCTGTACCTGCCCCTCAGTGCTGCAGGGTGTCTTCTGTGTCTCTGAAGGGCATGGGAGTTAAAAGGGACTTGTTGTTCTAAGGGCTTTTCCTTGGGGTTGCTCTTCTCCCCTGCACTACATCCTGGCTTTGCCATGCAGGGCAGATATTGAAGCTCCAGTGGATGTGCTTAAACACAGTTGTGTGTGCAAGGGGATAGCACAGACATGGGAAGCATTCCCTGACTCACAGGGAGTTCTTTGGGTGCACATGGGTGGCTAGGCCCCAGGCCTGTGGTTCAGGCTGCTCTGCAGCAGATATTGGATCACTGGTGTCTAGGGGATCGTGGTCTGTACTTTCCTTGATAGTTTTTACCTTCAGACCAACCTGACAGAGATCCGTCCCTTAGCTGTGAGGCGCAAGAAGAAGAACCTCTCCAGGCCAGCACCTGCAGCTCCCTCCACGTCTTCCAGCAGCAGCCAAGCCCGGCTGGACAGTTTCCTGCAGTGACACCCCTGCCCTCCCTGGGGAGCAGTAGGGCAGGGTGGCTGCAGGGCACAGTCCCTTGCCTAGAGCCTGGCACCAAGCTGGGCAGCCACTGCAGGGGGCTGTTTGCAAAGCACTGATGCTGCCATGGGGGGTGAGACCAGCTGCCCTGGAGAGAATCCTGGCCTTGCAGCAAGCTGACAGGAGACCAAACCTCTAGCTATGTTTGGACTGATCTACTCCACTCCTTTTACCCTTCCTTTCTCCTATTTTCATGCAGAATAAAAAGGGTTTTCTCATCTTCCAGCCTACTCAGAGCTCTGCAGTTGCTGCTGGGCTTTCTGACATTGGGTGGAACTGCATTTCTTGGATGCAGCTGCAAGGTAAAGAATGTGGGCAGGATGTCTGGGAGGTCAGGCTGGAGCAAGAGTGGGGAGGAGGGACCTGGACCAGCTCTATGCCTGGTGTTAATAGCTCCAAGACAGTTTCCTGGAGGAAGGTGTGTGCAGGGCAGACCAGTGCTGGCCAGCATTGCTGCAGGGGGTGTCTCTCCATCACCCAGTTAATCCCCTTCCCTCTTGCAGCCCTGTGTGGGTTGGGCAGACCCACAGACAAGCCTGGGGGATGTTCTGCCACACCCTGGTTTGGGCCATGGTGTCCCCTGCATTTCTGCAGACTTGGCACTGAAATAGCTGACCTGGGGAGGAGGGTGTTGGGGTGACTCCCTGCCCTGCTTAGGAACAGGGGGGTTGGTGTTGCTGATTTGACCTCTGTTTTTGGCACTTGTTGGTGTGAAACACTTTATTATGAATTTCTATTTTTGTAATGAATTGGTAGATGTTTTTGTTCCATTGAAGCTGGTTTCCTTGCTGCTTTGAGGGTTTGGAGAAGCCTGCAGTACTGGAGAATGGCTTCAGGGGAGGTTAGGGAGATTGATGGACCTGAACCTGCCTGAGGTTCCTCAGCTGGAGACATGGGGCAGGAGCTCCCATCTTGCCTCATGGCTGTAGTGAGGTTGCTCAGAGAAGAGTTGGAGATGCCTTGCTACACCACTCAGCTTTACAAATCCAGTATTCCCTATTTCCAGCTGGTTGCCCTGGAAGCCTCAGTTCCTGGGCTGGCTAAATGTGTGTCTTTGGGGAATAAACCAGACTGCTGTGTGCATTGTTAGCACAACTGGCTCCTGAGTGCTTTCCTCTCTGTTGCAGCCTCGATGCAGAGTGTGGGGTGATGGATGTGCCTGACCCTCATGAAACCTTTGGTGCCACCTCTGAGGAGATGGGCTGTGGTGGGAGGGGTGCCCATCCCTGGGGCAGTGAGCAAGGCCAACACCTGCCAAACAGGAGCTGGCTCTTGCCCACATCGCTTGGGGCCGAGTGGTGAGTGACACGGAATGGGTGGAGAGGTGAGAGGAGTCTGAGAAGGGTGTTCAGAGGGCTGGGAAACAAGCTGGGGGGTAGGGTGGGGGGACTCCAGAAAGACTCTTCTAAGGTGGTGAAGGGCTGGTTGCTGCAGGTGAGGGAGGTGGGCTGCCATCCTGGGGTGCTGGAGAACTGCAGATGTGTGGGCAGGGCCAGTCGCAGCTGGCGGTGGAGGGACTTGAGAGGGGCTTTTGGGGCTCCCCTCTGCTCCCACCCTGCTGCGAGGACCTGTCGGTTTCAGCACAGCCTCAGCTCCCTGTGCCCATGGGCTGGGTG